CGTGCAAAGCTGGAGCCAAAACTTCTGGAGTAATCACAATAACTACTTTGCTAAGGTAAGGCTGTGGTGGTTATTTCACTTAACAAGATCCCGGGATGCTTTGAATCACACTGTTGTCGCTTGACAAATGTGCAGCGTTAGTGGGTTCCTAAAGCTTCGAATAAATTAAATGTTTCATTTATTTTCTCTTTTCTAAATATTTAATTAGAATTAATTAATTTTCGTACATATTCTTCGTTCTTGTACATTATCCACTCTGTTAACCCTAGTCTCTGCGTTTCTGTAAACCTGGTCAAGACCACTGTAACGAATTGCAGGGAAGAGCGAAGTAGGGCGCACTATGTTTCAATTTTTTGTTCATGTCGTTTCGTGTTTGTAGAATAACATATAGAGTACACCTTATGCTACATGGTAGCCATATATTTTAGAAGCATATACTACGTTATATCCTTCTGACTGACTGTTATCTGACTTTTCTTCATGGTGCACGCACCACTAAGGCAATTCGATGCTGCTCCGGTCTTTTTCTTTCTTCACAGTTTCTAGTCGAGTGCTTGTTCGACATTAAATTCTGGGTGCCATCCCTCGTGAACCATGCCTTAACTTCACGCAGACCAGCCTATCAACTCAAGTGGAGCACTTTGTGATGTTTTGGTCACATGCAGATATCACTGACGAGTGGCGGGTTGCCACAACCATAACCTACGAGATGGAGTTCATCGCGACTTCCAGGTTTTTAAGTCGACCGGAGATATTACGTACCGTAAATTACATATTTGCTTTTTTGTTTGTATAGTATAGAATACATCACTATCATTAAACTGATTCTAACAAACAACATGACGCGAGTTGCATCTGGCACTGCATGTGCTGAAATATCATAACTGTGGCATGTGTAATAAACTGAGCAAAAGGTCAGATGGAGTAGTCCATGAAATCTGGCCTTGGAGAAGTTATACGTCATTTAATTTTATTTCATGTCGAAATGAGTCAAGGATTGGTTTTAGAAACGAGCAGAATTCATCAGGCGTCATGGAATTTACCCCGACCAACCACAGAACACGGCTGACGATGACAAGTTCATCGAGTTCTACCGAGAGTTTCTGGACGAAACCAAAGCCGCGCACATAAGCTACAGTCGGTAAGTGACGTCCACTTTGTCTTAAATGTACAATTAAATGTTAAAGCGTCGTTTTTCTTCAGAGCCTGGTACGAAAAACTGTTCAAAGTGCTGATTCTTGGCTATGCAGCAATTTTCAGTAGAATTGGCCATAAAATTAAGACAGGCTTCGTCGACGGATTAAAACGTCTGCGAATAAAGTGAGCGGCTGTTTCGAGTATCAGAGTGAGAGCGAGTTTTAGAAAACGGAGTAGTCTTAGACAATGTTTTGTTATAATCACTCGCCACAGAAAATGTTTTATGCCACGGATTATCATAAATTGAGATTCTTGCTATTGATGATTTCTTTATTTGATTTGCTGTTGTTTTGTTCTTATTGAGTTCCTTGTGATTAACAGAAAGTATCTCATGCATATTGACTGCTGAATCTTTCCTCAGCCGAAGAACACGTTTCATTATCGAGTAATCATTGAAGTAACATAGGTTATCAGTGTAATTAGTGGCACAACTTTGCTAACATAATGCAGAATATCAGTCTGTAGTTTATTGGATTGCTACTGATTTTCGTAATGAGTGCGATTAGTGTGTTCCTGAAGGGACTATGCCGACTAATTGCATGAGTGCAACTGTAAAGTTAGCGTTAAACTGGACTGTAACAGTTATACATCTGTTGTGGTTAGCAGGAAATGTTACACAACTTATAATAACGGAACTTGCAGTAGTTAAAGGCAACGCTGTCAGTGTTAATCAGTTAATCAAGAAGCAACATAAAATATGGTAGCTTGTCACACATTGAGAAAGCCTGCCTACCTTATACGAATATTTATTCCTTTTCAGTACTCTTCTGTTCCTATTGCCCGGTAGCCTTTTGGGAAGCATTCCCAACGATCTGGTCCTACTCCTTGCAGTGAATGTTTTTGACCGTCTTCCTCATTACTTTTGCCATGGTTACTTGCCTAGTCTCACCCGTAGCATATTCCTCACGATTGAGATCTCGATATGCTCGATAGGAGTGTCTCGCAGTCTAGCGTGCCTCGGTTTTTCGTATTCAAAGCCAGGTAGAATTTCCTCTCACATGCAGCGCTTCAGAGTGATCTCATTT